TTGAAATATATTTTTCAATCTTATTAATCCACTCATTTGAATCATTTACAACTTGCATTTTGAACCTTTTTTTATTGATTTATAAAAATAAAGAAATGAAAAAAAAAATCTTGGAGAAAAGCAAAAAAAAAATAATGCACTTTGTAAATCATGTAACGGTTAATAAACTAAGCCACCGTTCATATGTATTGGTGATGTGATGTGAAACAATATACAACACGTTGACACGTGATTTATGAATTATTATCATTTTCCAAATTTTTGTTAACACAATATTATTAATTTTACGTAACGTAAATCGAAAAACCACCAGTTATTAAAATGAACTTCAATTCTAAGTACGATCATATATTTTCGAAAACTGAGGTTCCTATTTCCTGTTGACGATCACTTGACAATTTAAGGAGTACCGGTTATACTTCTTTGAAATTCAAAATTTGTCCACGGATTTATTATATCCGAATATATTTAAACCTCCGGACTTATTATATCCGGCTTTATTTAAACCCCGGTATCTTTGACCAGTCATAAGGCTTAATTTAGAAACCCAAAACGAAAATAATAATGCTTATTATTATTTACGTTTGTAAAGTTTAATTTATTATATTATCATTATAAACTAAACTTAAATTTGAATTTATTTACAAATGCTACGCTAATGAATTATGTGGACGTAACAAGTGATGATGTTTATTCGACACTAAAAATTTTCTAATTCATTATCGTCGTTCTCTTTGAGTGAAGACTTTTTTTTATTTCTAATTCTTGTAAATTTTTGCGAGTTTTTTCAATTTCTTCCGGTTCAAGTATTACATCTAAATATTAATGGTACGGCTTAAACGATCGAACCGAAAATTAAAAAAAGGTAAGTTGAAAAATTGAAAACTGAAAATAAAAAAAAATACATACCGCGCGATCTTTCGATGACTACGGCCCGCAGTGATTCAATCGCCTAAAAATGAGTAACAAAATTTAATGAAAAATTAAAATAAAATAAATAAAAAAATATATTAAAAAACTTTTTTATGTATCGCAGCCTGAAAAGTGTCCTAAATAAAAGAAAGGGCGCAATCAAATGTATTATCTTTTTATCGTAATAACAAGATTAATTGCATGAGATTTTTTTTTCGTTAAGCTAAAAAAATTTAGATATTTGCATGCAAAGCATTATGAAAGTTGTTTACCTTTTCTAGCAATTCTAGCAGTCGAGGGCTTTATCGGATACATAAATTCGGATATAATAAATCCGGATTGAATCCGAAGGAACCGGATATAATAAATTCGGATTAAATCTGGTTCCAATTTTTGAAAATAAATAAATCCGGATATAAAAAATAAATCCGGTTCCAACCTCTAGTACAATTCATGCCAAATCCCCATTCTCTACAAACGTGGATATTACAATACCACCAAGCTCACCTAAGCCATACACATTTTATTTGGTATTTTAGAACCACCTCAAACAGTTCTAGGCTGCGCAATTGCCTTAGTTGGTGGCATACCTCATAAGGGAGCTGCGTATGCTGCGCTTCCTTTTTCTCTATAAATTTTATTTAATTATTTTTTTATTTTTTATTTTTATACTTTATCACAATCATTTGTGTTGAAACAAAAATAGTAATTTAATTAGTTATTGATAGAATTTATTTACCATATTAAATTCATTTGATATATATTAACTAGCACTTAGTACTGAATTAAACGCCTTTAATATAGTCAATTTACAATTAATAAAGTTACAAAATGATTAACGAATATCTTTCCAAAATATACTGTACGTAAACTTTATTATATGTCGTCAACCCTCCGTTGGTATCATGTATAGAATTATTACATCTCACGGCGCGCTAAGTTTTTTTTTTGACCGATCGGCAATTTTGATAACAATTTTTCATTTTTCTAATCTCATAAAGTTATTTGTGTTACATTAAAAACGACTATATTCTCATTAATCCTGATTATAATTCTCATTAACACTTTTATATACTTGTTTTGGTGCTTATTGAGTTTAAATATAGCGATAGTTTGTAACAAATGCGATATTAATAAATATGAATTACCGTATTTCATTGAATTTAAACAACACCCCCCGAACCCTAAAAAAATAGGGTGTATTACTGACTCGTGATCAGACTTAACGATTGACAGATCGTTTTTCTATCGTTAGTTTATATTTTATTAAAATAAATTTATATTTTAAAATTAAAATACAGTAGTTATACATCTTTAACAATTTTACACTTTTTAAAACTATTGCAAACAGTTTCTATAGAAATATCATCCCAAACTTCTAAAATCCATTTACAAATTAAATCATAACCCGGCCTTTGTAAATTTCCACCTTTAGTAAAAGAATATTCCTTATTAGCCATCCAATTTTGCCATTTTTTACGCATTCGATCCTTAAAAGGCTCATTAAGACAAACATCTAATGGTTGAACAAGTGATGTAAGACCGCCAGGTATAATAGCTAAATCAATATTCATCTGTTTACATTTTTCTTTTATAAATTCTGTTTTATGTCCTTCAAAACTATCCAATACTAATGAAGATCTTTTATCAGATTTAACATGTTTTTCCCATACCTCTTGAAACCAAACTTTCATTAAATCTTCATTCATCCAACCCTTTTCTTGCATTTTAACTACTATATTGGATGGAAGATTTGTTGGAAGTTTTTTACCTTTAAAAATAACCATAGGTGTGAGTTTTGTTCCATCAGCAAGAATTGTTAAAACACAAGTGAATCGATTCTTATCATTTCCAGTAGTACGAATATGAATGGTTTTTGTACCTTTCTTTTCAACTGTTAAATTACCAACCATGTCAGAAAAAATTAGAGTATCATCCATGTTTGCGATTTGCGATAAGTAATATTGATATATTTGTTTATGTTTTTCAATAAATTCATAAAATGATTCTAATTTTAAAGAAAGATATATAGGTAACTTTTGTCCAAATTTTGTTTTTTGACGAATAGAAAGATTGTATCGATTCATAAAACAATCAAGCCAACCCCGAGATGCAATGAATAATTTTTATTATTTGGTGAATCTTTATTAACAAGCAATTTCATTTTTTGTTGAATCATAAGTGGACTAACGGCAATTCCATCTTGACGCAAAATTTCAATCCATTTAATTAAGTCTTCTTCAATATTTGAATAAAAAGGTTTTGTATCAGAACCAATACGACAACTATTGGGATTAGCTTCTAATAAAATTGATTCATTTTTACGTCATCTTGATATTTGAACTCCATATTTTTTTTCAGCATCTCTTAAAAATGTTTCTTTTGAATAAGCAACAATAGAAAGTTTTTCTTTTGCAGTATATGAAGAGCGAATGGTTTTTGGTATACTTAAAATAAAAAATTTTATAATTCTCATTTTTTATTATTTTTTAATTGTTTCCTTTTACAATTGTATCAAACGAAAGATCATAATATCACATGATCTTATTGTTAAAAATAAATACCCTATTTTTTTTTAGAGTTCGAGAGGTGTTGTTTAAATTCAATGAAATACGTATGTCTTTTGGGTTCAATCATTGCGTTGATAAATTAGTGCAAAAAAATTATCACTTTTGTAATTGTGAATCAAATTTATCCAATTATGAACAATATTACTATTATTTATAAAAGAAAAAATTAAATAAATAATAAATTCTCAACGAGATGAACTCTAAATTCTAAATATTTATCTTTTAAGATAACATCATTGTAAAGTTTAACAAATTATAAATAATCTCATTTGGTCCGTAAGTGATCGTTAATGCGACATAGTTTTTATCCTAGAATAAACATATATCGTATCTAGGATTAAACGAGACTTTTTAAAAAACAATTCTTTATAAGATGTCTCCACAATATAAAATTTATGCATGATTTAAGAAGTAAATCCACTGATTTATTTGTTAAAATCAACCAAACCATTTGATGTACAAGTCATATACAGTTGAATTTCAAAATGAATCTCAAAATGTAATCAGCAAGATTACCCGAAATTTTAAATGGTCGTCGATAATAAATTATGTGGACTGTACGGTGATTTAATAGCCGATCACCCAGTATTAACTGATTTGGAATAGAAAGTTATTTTACTTATAAATGGCACTGATTTCAATGTATTCAGAATTCGAGAAAATGATTACATAAGAATACTTCCAATTAGATACTTTTTCAAAGAAACAAACTTTAAACAGTTCTATTTATATTTAAAGTTTAAAATTTTTTATTATATTATATTAAAAATGTTAACATTCAACAATTATTTGATTATTGAATTATTCAATTCAGTTTGAAAAGTGGCCGGATAAATAATATATTAAATTTTAAATAAATAATATTTATATTAACTTCATTATTGAAATATTACAAAAAAAAATAAAAAATTAACAGTTTATTCTATTTTCATTAACTTTTAACATAGTTTTCTTTAATATTAGATGGTGGTGGAATATGATAACGTATTCTTAGACCCGTGAAGATCTATCTAAATATTTATCAGATACAAGATATCCAGATTTTTTACAGATGTTAAAGATATCTGAACAATATGGAAAAAGATTCAGATATCTTTAAAGGCTTATCTCTATCTCTTTGTTCACAAATTGGATAATAATGGATAGTTTATACAAGATCTAACCACTTATTTATAACTTATTTTATCATAATTTTAGATAAATAAAATGTGTATTATGTCATATTAGCATGTAACGCTCTGCATAATTTTGGCCAAAACAAATTGGCCAGATAATTTTGATCGTCATCTGTAGTTATGTGCAATTAAGCTTAAAGAATATTATATTTTAGGTTATCTATTGTATACTTCTGAAATTAAGCACCCCGAAATTAAGCATTCCCAAAATTTATAAATATATTAAAAATAAGCACAGTAGTATAAAAATGGGCTTTTTGGCACAAAAAGCCCAGGGTCGCCTAGAGGGTCAGCTTAAGTATCGTAATTTTTCATACATAGAGTAAACGCATTGTAAATATACATATGACCTTAAGGAAATCAATTTGCTTTCTTGATTGGTATTCACTCTGTAAACATTGGCTTCCTATA